TTTATAGGAAGGAGAAAGATGATTATAAGAAACAACATAAGATAAAGGATAATAGATATCTAGACTAAAGGAAGAAGATGGTGTTGAGGTAAGAGTGGATAATGATAATCATGCAAGTAGGAAGGAGGGTTATGGGACTGAGAAGAGTGATGTAAAGGCAACAAAGAAGGGAAATCAGTAGAAGAATGATTTGAAGAGGTAGGAGAAATAGGAGCTAAAGAATTTAGAATAATGGAAACAATAGAGGTAGAGGACAATTGAATGATGATCAAGATAATCAAGGGGAGTGTAGATTGTGGAAAAGGAAAATTAGTAGAAGAACTGTAAGATGGAGAAAAAGGAAATTTGGTCTCATGGAAAATGACATGCTGACTAATGAGAATATTGTGAGAATGCAAATTAAGACATATAAAAACTTTGGTGCCAAGGTGAAAACCAAGAAAAACACATTTCCTAGTATGATGGTCAAATTTAGGGCAATGAGAAACAGAAGTAGAAGCAAAACAAAGAGAACCAAAGACACAAATTAGAAAAATTAGGGAATGCATTATAAAGAAGTTTATAAGGTGTTTGCTGTTACAAAAGAGAAGTAGGAAGATGATTAATGATGTAAACAACCTGTAAAATTGCACAAGACTATAAGTTAATGGTAAATGACTTTGAAACAATAAAGTTAGAGCAACATTAAAAATATGCTAGTGTTTACATTCCATAACATTGTTTTGTTCAAGCGTTTCAATACAAGTTGTTTGATGAAGAATTCCTTTTGAATCAAAGAAAGAATGTATAAGGAATTTAAGACCATTGTCTAAGCAAATAATTTTTACAGCCAAAGAAATTTTATTTTCTAGAAATAGAATGAGGCATTTCAAACGAAAACTAGTTTTATATTTTAATTTCATCAAAATGACCCAAGTAAAGCGAGATTAATCATTGACAATAGTCAAAAATAATGATGGCCATGAATAAAAGTGATATTAAATTGATCTTAGATATCAACATGTAAAAATTCAAGAGGACGAGTAGTGTGAGAAACACTAATAGGAAATGGTAATTTTTTGTATTTGAAAAAATGGCAAACATCACTACTTTTATTAAGGTAGGTTTACAAGTAACTGAAGATGATTTTTGACCTAGAATACTAATAGCAGTAGAGGAGGCATGCCTTAACCTAAGATGCCACAAATAAAAAGAAGGTACATATTTAGAATGTAAAGTAACAACAAAAATTGAAGGTGATAACCTACTTGTATGATCATGAAGAATATAGAGATTGTTTTGAACCTTAGCTATACCAATTGTCTTCTAAAAGTCTAGGGCTTGAATGAAATAGTGAATGGGATTGAGGATTGAGGATTAAGAAATAGTAAATGTGAAAACTGAGTTTAGAAACATAAATCAAATGATAATCAATCTAAGGAATAAACAAAACATTAGTAAGATAAAAATTAAAGAAAAGGTAAATGGTTCTAGAGTGATGAGCCTAAACAATAGAATCATCAAGTAATTGAACATAAATAGAAGAACATATATGATCGGTTGCACCACTATCAATGATCCAGACAGACGAAAGGTGTTTAGAGGAAAATAAGTGAGATATACCTTGTGTTAAATATGCATTGAGAGAAGGAGTGGAATGAAGACAATTAGAAGATTAACTTGTGCTGAAGGAGTTGATGAAGTAGTAAGTGCAGAGGTTTTCACAACAGCAAAAAGCTTATTGTATTAATCCTAAGTGAACAACAAAGAGGTAGAAAAAGATTAGGACTGAATAGTTCCATCAGCAAGTAAAAAGCATTTGGAGTAGTTGTAATGGTGGAAGGCAAAACAATGAATTCGAGTGCCATGAGCTTCCAAAAGCACCAAATAAAGCAAAGAGGGAAAACAATGAGCTAGCTTTGGTACCATAACACAATATGTGAAAATAGTGATTTATCTTATTATTCTAACATGGGATATATTTATACAAGGGAAAAAGATCTATCAAGTATATAAGAGAATAAAATAAAGAGATATCGAGATCTATCAAAAAAATAAAATAATAAAATAAAATAGTTATAACCACACTAACTACATAAAATAATATATACAATCAAAATATAATATTGTCCTGTGTTAACTTAAATTTCACTTGTTAATTGTTAATATTTACTTATTAAACGTTAAATCATTTTAGATGTCTTTGATTGATACTCTCTCAAAAAGAAAATGTATGGAATCTGAATTATAAAAAGAGGTCGGGAAAACTAATTAAAAATTAAGAGAAAGGGGAAAGGAAAGAAAAAGAATGGAAAAATTATATAGAAAATAGGGGTACCGAAAACAGTCAAACACGGATCAGTCTGTGATGGGCTAGCATTTTGAGAGTTGGCAGCAGGCTAACCCGTCAAAATTATATCTTCCATCTTTACCATATCGTTAAATATAGCAACAGAGCTAGGTTTAGTAAAAAAAAAAAATTAATATCTCATATGGTGATAAATTAAAATTTAAATTATTATTAAAAAAGATGTCTACATTTAGTGTCTCATATATAGTGTCTTGAATATTGCTTTTGATAGAAGAATGCCTGTGAATAGGTTAAAAAAAAAAATTGCTGAATATAACCTTATCCAACACCATTCCTTACATGTATAATGCTGAAAGTGATTATTCTAAAATATTGTTATTGGTATATTGAATTTTGAATTTGCTTGATAGCGCTTTTTTAGCCGCTTTGTCCGTTTTTGGCAATCTAATAGAATCTCATCACACGTGAGGAATGTCCTACCCGAATGCTTGATATTAATTGCTAGTGAAAATCGTTTTTAAAGAAAAACAAAATAAAAGACAGGTTATTGGCAAGTATAGCCCTCCATTTTTGGGGAGAGGGTTCTCTCCCTTTTTTTCACCCTCTTTTCCCTCCACTCTCTCAATTCTTATCATTCATATTATTTTATTAAATAATTTTTTAATTATAAAATTAATGAATGGTGAGGATTGAAAAAATAAAGGGAAATAGAGGAGTTAAAAAATGGAGAGACCCTCTTCCCCATTTTCAGAGTGCTGGCAAGTCCAACCTCTTTAAAAAATAGGGTCCCCATTTTGCCAGCCTAGCTTGCCAATTTTGGCAGGTAAATAGGCTAAATTGCTGGACTGAGCTTGTATTTTTAACTTTAGTTCACACCCCAATGCCAATGACAAAGGATGTTCTTGTAGGAATTTAGTGCATAATGAGTGCTTGGGATCTCAATCCCCTCCTTTTTAATTTTTGTATTTAGAGCCTAGCCCTTATATATATATAAGCAAAAGATGACAACACCGTTGCAGAGCAATGTAAGGATGAAGTGTATTTTTGTCATGACATATATTTTATTTTTTAAAACATAAGTTTTTTTAAAATTGAGGCAATGTTATCATATTTTACTATTAATATTAGTCAACATTTATGTAGGTCAGGAGACTTTTTTTAATCCACGGTTGAAAGAAAGTAAATTGTCCAAATTTTAAAAGATTATGTGTTACATATTCTAGAAATTTTTTAGGGTGTCTATTACCCTTTTGAAAATATTTTTGTATGGGGTGTGGGATTCGACTCACGAAAAGTAAATAGGAAAAAAATTTATAAATTTAACTTTATATATTTAATATATTTATTTTCAATTAAATTAAAATATATGAGTATTTTATTTATCCTTATTATAGAACAAATTCTTAATATGAATATTATTAATATTTTAAAATTAACTTGTTTTGATTTAATTTGAAAAAAATATTAAATATATAAAAGTAAGTAACTAGATTTTTTATAATTTTTTCTTTGGCCAAAAGACCTTTTCATAGTTAAGTTGATAGGAATCATTGCTGATAGTTTTCCCACTCTTCATGTAACTTTGTCTTTCAAAATTCCCTTGCCATTGAATTTTAGACAATATAACACTTCAACTTTTATAATTTATATTAATGATAATTTAAAACCAAGAAAATTAAATTAAATTATTCTTGAAAATATAGTATATAAATATATGAACATGTATGGACAAGGTGCGATGAATAGTTTAGGTTGGCCCAAAAAATAAATCAAGAGTCAAGTAGACAACGTTGTGTTGGGGCTACCTACACCCACTATTGCTTGTCCTTTTAACTTTCATCAAATCATAATAATGGCAGCACCAAGTAAAGTGAGAAAGATTAAAAGTTGAAATATAATAATGATGAGATAAATAAGCATACTGATTTGAATTGAATTTTGCTTCTTGCTCGTAAAAATTATTAATCGTCAAAGTGAAAAACCAAATGGGATTTATAATGAGATTAATTGCTTATTTCCCGCAATTCATGGGGGCACTCTTTACTTGAATTCTAAGTGAAGTTAATCTCTCCTATCTTGTCACCAAAGATCTAACAGCTACATTAGTTAATTGATTAATTAATTAATTAATTAATCGTATTAGCTATATGCATAAGAAGTGGCAGGCTGTTTGGGACTAACTCATATAGTAAGGGTGTAATGGGATATATAGGTAGAGGTCAAGATATAAATAGTCTTAATGTAATGAATAATAAAGTAGATTTGGCACTCTAGCATTGGATAAAGTTTAAAGGAAAAGTTACACATAAGTTTTAAATAAAGGATATGATACGGAAAAGTTACACATAAGTTTTAAATAAAGGATATGATACGGGCAACTGAATAATAGGTCATAATAATATGAAATCCCATGGTGTGTTATCTCATGGAGAACAACACTAATCAAAATAGCCCCACAATTAAAAAAAAATTCAATCCATAGATTCAAATCAAGTATAAAAAATACAAATGATTTAGTTGTTTAAATAGACTTCTAAAAACCTAAATGACGCAATCTTAGTTAATCTAGGATTTTAAATGGATAGATCATATCCTTAATAGATATTTTTTATCCATATTTAAATTAAAACAAAATAAACTAATTTTCCTAAACTTATATTTAAAATAAAAATAAGGTAAGCAAATTGGACTCATAGGTCTAAGTGTCTTGGGTTAAGCCTAATATGCTAAAAGTCTTTCTTTAGTCTTTTAGAACTCCATTCATCTTCAAGACTTTTTGATTATTTGCAACATCTCTAATTAATGAATTTAGGGCTTCTTTCATCCTCTTAGCTTTGGATCTAATCATTGGTCCTCTAATGCTTTGTAACGGATCAAAGGTACTAAATATTAAATTCTAACTCGTCACTTGATTCCCATCATTCCCTCCTTCTTGAAAAGGATTCATTTTTCAATTACATGCATCAAATAAAGAAAGATTTGCAATGCTAAATGTAGCTAACACATTCCCATGGAAACTAGGGAGGTCTATCTTGTAGGCATTGTTACTAATTCGTTCCAACACTTGAAAAGGTCCATCGTCTTTTGGATGCAACTTTGTCTTCTTCAAATTTGAAAATTAGGCTTGAGATGCACCCAAATCCAATCTCCAAGTTTGAGGACCACTTTCCTGTGCCCTTTGTTAGCTTGCTTTGAATGCTGTTCATTTATCCCTTCAATTAAAGCCTTCATCTCAAAAGGAGAATAAGACATAAAATATGCATTTGGATTTAAAGTAAGATTAAGATCCAATTTGCCTCATCTAAGTGTATGCTTATGTATTGGGCTTTAATATAATGATTTGGGCTTCCAATATATAAATATCTTTCCTTGAACTTTCTTCTCTTGAATGACGTGACTTTGGGTAACTAGGTGATATGGGTTACCACCTAAGACTTTGTTGCAATATATACTATCATCTAAGATTTGACTGCCAGGTAGGATGCCATTGTGAATGTCATCTTGGATGATATATTAGATTTCAACTGGGTTGCCACTTGGGATCACATCAGGATATAAGTAAATTCTAAAAATTTATTAAAATACTCTCAAGTCTTTTAAAATTTGGTTGTATTTAATTTAGTTAGTTTTGTGGTGCAAGGGGATGCTAGAGAAGCGTACCCTGAAATAGTGCAATGTACTTGACTTTTAAATCAAACGGTGAGTTTTGAGGTCCCTAACAGTACTACAAAAAAATTCCTTTCGGAGCGATTACTTTTTGCTTATGAGAGCACTTTTGAGGCACTCCCGTATCTACAGGAGCATTTTGTAAAGCACTTCTATAAGATTGGCCTACGGGAGCACTTTCTCCAAAAACACTCCTATAGGAGTTCCTAACATTAAATGTTGAGATCTACAGGAGTGCTCATCATGAAAGCGCTCCTATAGACTATGGCTACGGGAGTGCAGCGTCGCAAAAGCACTCTTGTATGTGTATTTTAAACAAAAATAAAAAATGTTGAAATAATTAATTTCACAAAACCCACAAAATTTGATGGTCTCATCATTATTAAATAATTTCATAATAAAAATAACTTGTAAACTGAATTATAAACACAACAATATTATAACAACAAATAACTTGTAAAATAAATTACAAACATAACAATTGTTATTAGAAATACACATGTCTTTGAACTTAAGACATTAACACAACAATGGTAAAGTATATGAAAATTATTGGATCAGTAAATTTGAATGAGGCAACATCAAGAATTGAAATTTGCAACTTCTGTTCTTGCACAAATTTAAAATAATGAAAAATAATTTAATTAAATCATAACTTATCATATTAATAATGAATAGATCTGAGCAAGTTTGTCCTAAAATATTAAAATAATTACAAGTACATATCTCATCACACAACATATTTTTTCCAGATTTTCCTATTGCATATTTGCATCGCATGGACCTTGATGTTTCTTATAACTTACGGATCTAGGAATACACATAGGCAAACTAACTACAATTGACATAATTAAAGGAGAAAAAGACAAGGTGCATAATAAAATAATCAACAAGGTCATTGATATGTTGACTCACCTCAAACAAATGTGGAATTGTGAAATATAGGTCACCAAAATAATCTTGTCAAGCCACCTGATAATACAAAGTAAAGAAAATTAAGAAACTAATAATGTAAAAAAAATCCCCCTACAATATGTGGCAAGCTATGAATATCAAATTAATGGTGGAAGTTGTAATAAAAAAATATCTTATTCATTATATTCAATTATATTCTAAATGTTCTGCAAGAGCTTTGATGTCTGTCTACCACGATCATCTTCTAAATATTTCCAACTTAAAATGTTACGCAAGAAAAATATGCACCATTCTTTTATCACAATAAAGCCACTTAATTTTAACAATGTAAGAAATGATAATAACAACCACGAACTATATAACAAAGTGCCAAAATAAATCACATCACTCAAGCAAGATACTCAGAAAACGAATTAAATCACACCAAAAGAAAAGTAATTTTCAGTTTCTGACCCGAGCTTGGTCAGCATTCTGCTTTCCCTTGGACATTAACTCATCCATAGCAACAAGCCAGTAATGATAATCTATACAGTATGTTTTTGCATCCAAGAGCTTTCTTTTCCTATCTGGTATGATAAATCGATGTCGATAAAATCAGCCTAGTTCAAAAGAAAATCCAATAATTATTTTCGACTACAGTAGCGCAAGGAAAGTGCAGGATGAATCAAAGAAGCAATTCTAGACATATTGAATATATCTTCCACACACACAAACTCATATATATATATATATATATATAAGAAGAATGCTCGTGCGCACAGTTTATATATATATATATATATATAAGACTCCCACATAGATGAGAAAGAAAGGAGATCTTACTTCAACCATAAATATACTTCTATCAACTAAGCAATGCAGCATCGAAACACTAAGGCTTCTTTTATGTGTTTTTCCAACAACCAAGAGGGAATTCAAGTATCTAGAGATTCCATTGAAGGCATAGAGACACATGTTCAATGCTATTTGGCTATTTAATTGCAAAATAAGAGACAAAAATTAGAAACCAAAGAAGCCAAAACAGGAAAGGAAAAAAGTAAACAAGCAAAAGAAAAGAGGTAGCCCCTCAAGCCAGAAAGGAGGACCATTGGGGAACCGCAAATGAAACACAAAAAGATGGAGTGGTGAAGCTTCCACAGATCGGAATAGAAATCATGCACGAAATCGCACTCGAGATCGGAATCGTCACATCAGCGAGTAACTAGAATTTGAATCGTCACGGCTGGGAGTCTGAATGGAATCGCAATCTGGAATTGTCATAGCGGCGTTGAGCAGCTGTCAAACGCAAGGAACAATGGTAGCAAACGAGATCTGTGAAGGGAGATGTAGCAGGTGACAAAAAAGAGCTTTCGAACTTGGAACGACAGATCTGATGAGAGGAGGTGGGTCGCAACTCTGTTGAAGGCATGACGCGAGATCTATTTTAAAAAGAAAAATTATTTGTTTTACGATAAAATATATTATTTTACTAAAAATTTGATATAATTAATTATAAATAGTAATAAAAATATATTAAAACATAAGTATATTTGAAATTAAATATAAGTATAATAAATAATTAATTATAAAGGATTTAACTTTTTTTAAAAATCTTTTTTAAATATAAGTATGATAATTTTTTTAATTTTTTCCTTCCGAGCGCTCCAGAAGGGTTAGTCCTTAAAGAATCTAATTTTTTTAATTTTATTCTCTCAGAGTGCTATTAGAAAGAGCGCTCCGAAAGGATTAGCCCTTTAGAAGCCCTATTTAAAAGAGCGCTCTTAAAGGATTTAATTTTTTTAATTTTTTTTATTTTTTTGAAAGAGCACTCCAGAAGGGTTATCCCTTTATGAGTGCTTTTTGAAAAAGCACTGCTAAAAGATTTTAAAATTTTTAAAATTTTTTATTTTATTCTTTCGGAGTGTTCTTATAGTGCATGCTCCAAAAGGCTTGACATATAGGAGTTCTTTTTTAAAAAACTCTTGGGTATGTTCTGCCTCACCTTTTTAGAGCACCTTTTTTATTAAGCGCTCCTAAAGGTGTGCACCGAAACATGTATTTTATAGTAGTATAACCACAATTCCCATAGATGGAAGTGCTTAAAGAACATGCAAAAACAAATATGAAGATAAATATGGGAGACTTGCTTGGTAAGAACAAACATGATATTGATAATGATATAAAAGAAATAACAAAAAATATAAGATGAAAAACTAAAAGAAAGGTGCTAGAATAGTGGTGCTATTGTCCTAATATTAGACTTGTGCACTTTACTAATTGTTAGAGAACTTGCTATACTCTGCTAGATATGTGTTACTTTAAGGGAACTACATCTAATTTTTTTGAAGAAGGAAGTGTCAAGTATGGTCAACCAAGTATACTAAATTGATTGGAGTGTGTTTGGGTTTATTGGAGTTAGAGATGTTGAGGAGATTTAAGAGATTCATATGTAATATTGCCTAAATTCTCCACTTTGCTTAAGCAATAAACCACATATTACCATAGTAATTAGGGATAAATCGCCCTAGTAACCTTACTATGATAAAAAGAGGACTAACTACAGCTAAAAATAACTAATTATAGTAGAAAAGAAAAGACATGGGTCAAAGGTCTACTATGGTTTATTAAATCAAGTTTATAATTCGATGATACAAACATGAGTACTATTAAAAATAACTTATCATTATATAAATATATTTGAAAGTAAATCAAAGGGATTGATCTTGGCAGAATAAGTTACCGCAAATAAAATCTTTAGGATCCCAAGTCAAAAACAAAATCTAAGCATATCAAAACCCACATATACTCAAGTCAAAGCTTTAAAGGTGCGTAGAAGCATGGAATATCAACTAATAATCAAAACCTTTGAAATAGCAATTTAAAACCATAACTTGGAAATTCAACATCATCTGCTACAGTTAAAGTTGCGTTTGCCGTAACTAATGAAGTTGAGGCAATCTGTTGAGGCTAGTGCACCAATGCACATGGCAGGCCTCCACTCTATGTGTGCCACATCGAATGTGCTATCCACCACATCACACTACATAAAAGTGGCAGCAACATTGTTATCAAACCACAGTACTGAGCACAAATTTTCAATGAGCCTTGAGCCTTCATTTGATATCTGATTGGGATAATCCAAGTGTTGAGAAAAAGCTTATTCACATTAGTTTCATTTCAAACTTTATCACAATAAATCTTGGATACCTAGAACCAAATTCTCTTGTTTTTCACACCAAAGCACTTCCAAGATGTACCCCAACCAAGTGCCAAAAGCCAAAATAACTACCTAGACCAAGTCCCTATGATTTAGGAAAACTTGTACAATGCACCTATGGCTCACCACAAGTGTATGGATCATAGCAAGTAATATAAGATGAGTAAAATATCATTCCCTCAAGGATTTGTTTAAAAATGATGATCATCAAGCAGAAGACTAAGTGAGTCCAATTAAGTTGAGCCAAACATAATTAGGAAAAAGTTGATTTTGTAAACTAAACTAATACTATAAAATAAAGAAAAACAATTGATTCACACACTTCAAACACAAATTAGGACCTAGGATTATCTATCCCCCTTACATTTCATAACACCAAAATTACCTCCTTTCTTAAATTTTTTAATAAAAATAAGTGCTAACCTAGTGTTCTAAAAACACTTAGATAAACTCTCTCAAGTCATGAACAAGTATTTAGTTAAATTAATTGCCCAATCTCTTGTTACAATTAATAAAACTCAATTTTAAACACCAACCCTAATGTGGCTATGTAAGGCTAGCAAGTATATCTCTATCTTACTAGCAAAACTATCTATTCAACATGTAAACATTAAATTCTTGCACTATTTTACCTAAGTTCTATACTCAACTTAGCCCTTTCAAGCATCAATCAAGTGAACCTAATACCTAAATAGTAGCTAATCACTTAAAAGCATTAAGAAAAGAGTGAAATAAACACATATATTATTAATCAAAAGGAGAGAGGAGGAACTTAGTGTTAATCCACATAAGGGTTCCAAATAATCCTAGAACAAAGAGTTTAACTACTTATAACCATCCACAAGCTACAAATATACGAAATAATTGGACCCATTTCAGATTACAAAAGAGGAAAGGGAAGAGGAATAGAAAAACTAAAGAAAATGAGTTTCAAATGTCTTCAAAGCTTCAATCTCTTAATCCCAATTCTTTCAATACCTAAACCCTAGCACAATCAAGCTCTAAATGTGTCTAAAAGTGAGTAAAATGTGTTCTGGGTTGAGTTCTCAACATATATATATCCTACCCAACCAATTTTAGATAAAGAAAATGCAACGTCTTTTTGATAGCGACAAAAGTTGCAAATAAAAGTCATAACTTTAGAATGACTTTGGCAATTTTACACTGTTTTTGCAGCTAACAAAAATTATTCATTTTGCATAAGCTTTCTTCATACAAAGGCCTTTCAAAAATATCAACAAAGCTCTAGAAATGCTTCTAGTCAAATCTTAAACCAAAATAATGCCAAAATTAGGCCAAAAATATCAAATCAAAGCCAAGAATACAAATCCAAAATAAAATGCACATTTTTCTAATTTGGGCAATAAGAATATATACAATTGAGCTAAAATGGATTAGAATGTAAGAAAAATGTGATGAAATAACATGAAATTCTAGAGATTAACACACCCTCAAACTTAAAATTTTACTCATCCTCAAGTAAAATAAGTAATAAAACAACTATATTGACTAATTATTCATCTACTAAGCATACATGAAAATATCCTCATTAGTTTTTCCAAATGTATATCAAAGAGGACAGTAGTGGAATATAAAGGAATGCTCAATTCAAAATTAAGATCTTGCTTTTCAACAATTTAGAAATGTGTGAGTGTGAGAGAGAGAGAGAGAGAGAGAGAGACTAGAAAATGATTCTCCTGCAACTATTAAGTCAAGATGTAACAACTCAACATACATAAAACAAGCTCAATATCAAGACTTCATATGCCTAAACTCTTCCTCTTTCTCCACTAAATGATCACATCACATAATTAAAATCAATGGGACTTTGTAACACTATTGGAAAATTAGTTATCCAACCACTTTCTAAATTGGTTCCTACTAAATCGATTTAGAAAATAGAGGCTGTGGTAGTATCATAATTCAGATAGCATCTCATAGCCCTTTTTAAACTGGTTGTAAGACCACTCAGTGTTAAAAATACTTTCTAAACCGGTTATTTATTTATTTGATTTAGAAATGGTTACTTAAAAAATAATTCAATATTAAATTATTTTTAAACTGTGTTTATGAATAACTAGTTTAGAAAGTTTTACTATTTTTTGAAAAATAAATTTTCTTATTAATATTTAAACCGGTTATTATAAATAACTGATTTAAAAAGTGATATATAATTAAAAAACATATTTTTGATTACTTTCTAAACTAGTCATACAGTTTAAAAATTGATATATAATTAAAAAATACATTTGAAATTACTTTTTAAATAGGTTATTTTATTATAACTAGTTTAGAAAGGTCTTCAAAACCTATTGCCTCTCCCTCGTTTCACTCTTTGTTAAGCTTTATTCAAAATTACCCTTTGTGGCCATTCACTTATGAGCATCTCCTCCTTAAAGCCAAATATTCTCCTCCCCTAAATTGATCATCCTCACTTCTGTTCAACTTCCTTGAGATTAGGTTAGTGTTCTCTTCGCCTTCCATCACTGATTTGGGGTTCTCTTTATCCATCTAGTTTTGGTTCATCTTCTGGGTTCCAGTAGGTGTTTCTAGGTTTTGGGTTCCCATGGTTCGTTCACTTTCCTAGAGCTTGTGTTCTTGATTCTTGGTTCTTTGAGTTTACAATCAGGGATTTAGTTTTTAATCACTTTCATCTCATTCTTGAAGCTCCCATTTAATTTATATACTATTGCTTTAATTAATGTTTGAAGTTTTGTTCTAATTCTTGTGCTTGGTTGCCACAATTTTTGGGTAGAAAGCTTAAGCTTTCATTTTTTGCTTGCTGCAATTTTTGGACTCTCCTTCCTCACGTGGGTGTGTTGCTTCAACCTTCATCATTTTGCTTTAAGGTATTTTTCATTTTTTAAATAATTTTCACTATCTAATTTATTGGTGTTATTGGGTTGGTTGATGGTTGAATACAAATTTTGTTTTAACTTTCTTATTCTCATAGTTTAAGTTGCTTATTTTTTTGCCAGTATCATAGTTTAACACTATTAATGGTTGAATTACAGCTAAAACTATGTATAATCTTGATTATTGCTGATGAAATGCTTAAGATATTGTTACTAGATAAAATTCAATTTGGGATTTGGACTTTTGAATTGAATTTTTGTATAGTTTGTCTCTATAAAATTATGAAAAAGTCCAATTTCTAGGCAAAGCTCTACTGACATTTCTATCAA